TTTGGATTTCAGAAACAAAAAAAATGCTACTGTATCCATCCATAGCTACTATATCCATCCATATATAGCAAAAAAAAAAAAATTGATAGGCAAACAAATCACCAACTTTGGCTGCCAAATTTCTCTTTACAAGTTTCTCGCAACTTTCGCTAGCATAAAATTAATTAGAACCAATAATCAAATCACAATTAGACAAAACATATATATACCGTAAACAATAAAAATACCAAAAAAATTGCAAAACAATAACTTACTCTACCAATAGAAAAACATATCAAAATCATAATCATTCAAAATAATACAAAATATGACAAATCCATACTACATTACAAAAATTATATTACAAATCTTTACACGTGTTCCAATATAGAATACTATGTCTTCTGCTCCCAATATGTGCCCGTAAAGCTCCAGGTGTCTTTTGCTCGCAATATGTGACCGCCACAAATTTGGTTTTAATATTAATATATACTGAATTATATTAGTTTAAAGCTTCCCCTCACGCTCCAGTTACAAGTTAATTGTTTCCTTTTGCTATTATGATCGTGTTTTATTTTCTAATATGTCTATATCTAACAAATATAAATCGCAAAATAAAATATCTCCATATCTAAGAAATATAAAATATAAATCAATTATGAACCAAATATACATGTCAACAAAAATATGGATTTTTTTAAAAATGGTACACATCAGGACAGATTGTGTGTGTATCTAATACTATTGATTTAAAGCTTTTGCGTTTTAATATTGGCAAAGTGATGATTAATTCTGTGTTTTTTTTTTATATATATAACTGATTTTTAGCCAAATATATATATTGACAAGAATATTTATTTCCAGAAATTTATATATATGTATATATATCGACACAAATTTAAATTTTGTTTGTATCTAATAAATGTTTATATATATATGTATACATATGGACACAAATTTAAATTTCCTGTTTATCTAATAAATATTTTTTACCTTCTCAATTATTAATTTAGAGTTTTTGCGTCTGTTTAGCAAAATACATAGCAATTCCTCTACGATGCCACTGCATGCTATCAAATTTTACGTGGCTCTTCTCTGGTGATTAAAGGTTACGTGGCGCAAAATTTATTTTACGTGGTTACAGATTACAAGTTACACCTGTAGGTACAGCTCATGTCGTGTACTTAGAGATAGAGATATGCTTGTTTCATTCGGTTCTTTCACAGATTACATACAGTCATAGTGGACTTGCAATCGTTAGTCACATTTAATCCATGCATGTGCTTCGTTCTGCCAGGCCACAAACTCTTTGTATAGTTGAAGGTTATGCATTCCGTCTGCATTAACCTTTTCGCTCTCAGTTTCTTTCATTTGGTTTTCTTCATCTACGGTCTAGCAGCTATTATAATGCTTTAGAGATGTTTCTCTTCTCTCTTGCGCCTTTCTGTTAGCTCTTTATTTTTTATTGGCTTTCCCTGATCCCTGTGTCGAATTCTCAGCTTCGCGCCGGCTTTAATCAGGTATGTCCTTGTTTTTCTTTACTGCATTTCCTGGTTGACCTTTTCCTCGTTTGCTCTTAGTTAATCTGCAGCAGTTACTTATTTTCTTTTCTTGTGGTTGAAGTTATGTTTCTATCATTTTTTTCCTCCCGATTAATTACCTAAGAATATCTGTTTTGTTTCCAAGATTTTTTGCGAAAAAAACTCAGTACTTCGCGCAGAATCATTTTGCTTTGTTGCAGTTTTTTAGTGATCTGCATTAACTCTGAATTTTTTTACGTTAGCTGACTCCATAAACTATTAACAAATTTAAAAAATCTCCTTACTTTTCCCGTTTTGGTGTATTTTGCTCATGCTCACTGTGTGTGCCTTTTCCATGATCATACCAGTTCATCTAGTGCACCCAAGTTTTCCGCGATCCTATTAGCCATTTATTATTCAGGTAAAGCAATCCTTTCTTCGCTTAATTGCTTCTCCTTTGCTTACTGCCCAGTCTATTCTGCTTTGTTCTATTTGATTTTGCATACCATGTTTGTTATCTCTTTGCCTATTGAATAGCGATCATCTATATATAAAAAAGGCACATGCTTTTTGCTTTCATATTCATGATCTGTGAAATTTCCAGAGACTTTTACATAGTATGGGCACCCCGCGACAGCCGCGGGGTCGAATGCCTAGTATATAATAAAGGCGCGCCACACATTCAAGGAGAGTTTGGGTTGGAATAATGTTCTAATTTGAGTCTAAGTAGATCTCCTGTCCCACGGGAATTTAGTTAGTAGGATTCAATGTTGATAATTATAAGAAAGTCCCTCGGCCAAATATGGGGAATTCTTTTTGTCAGTCCATCACACGCACAAGACTTCATGTCCTTTATGAATTCAATCAAATTCAACCTCTGAGGGCTTGGGGAAATATTTCAGCGATGACTCATACGGGTAAGAGTGGCAATTCCGATTGTAAAAGAAGATCAACTCCTATGTTAAAGAAGGCTGGCCGGTTCGGACCTTGAACCTTGTGAAGCGGTGGAATTCATGATTGATCTTGTCTTGTAATTGGAGTTGGAAACTTTCTAGGCCAACGGAAAGGTGTTTGCATACGAAGTGCCCACAAGACAAAGGCTTGATTAGTTACCTATGAGACGGAGTTCCTATTCAGATGTTGAAAGCCTTTTGCGGTCAGCTTCCTACCTAAGTGGTTTACTTCACAAGAGCTAAAAAATTACTCCTGCTCAATTCGGAATATTAAGGCACTCATAATGTTTGCCATCCGAAACCGAAGTTGAAGGAACTAAGAAGTCTTCGGGACTACGTTGGTAACAACAGAACTTATAATGGCAAAGAGTTTCAATTCAATGAGGAGTTGAGCAAGTGAGCAAGCCACAAAGTGATAGTACAATCTATATGGGACCTCCATTTGAGTTGTTGGATTTAATTCGACAATTTACCAAGGGTGCAATTCCTAGTTTTAAGAGGTTATCCGAGTTTTGCAAAGTAAAGAATTCTTGTACACATAATGTCTGAATTCCTGAAGGTAAAAAAAAACAAAAAAAAAAAAAAAATCGATAGCCGAGGCCGTGTACTTGAGGCAATGGCATGATATGGTGTTTAGCTGGAGAAGATCTCGGGTTCAGCTTTGAAATGTCATATGTACATGACACTGGCGTCCTAAGGAGCAAAGGAAGGCTTGGAAATTTGGGCAAATGGATATGAAGTCATTCGGCCTTGGAAATTGAAACCAGCAGAATTTGTTTAATGATACATATAGCGGTGGACTTGAAACTTTAGATTGATATGTTTTGACCCAAGGGATTGATATCACTAGATTTTGCATGAGTTGGCGGCACCCTACGTGGCCATTTATGATCAATTCTAAAGCCACTACATTGCAAAGCATCAACATTTGCTGGTGTACATCAAATTGCAAAGCCACTACATGAATGGACTTTATCGTAAGACATCAAATTGGAGTAATCATTATTGACATCAAGTACTACTAGGAATTCAAGTACTACTTGGAATTTGGCGGGCACATTGCTTGGCTTAATTAAGATCCGTGGCTATATTGATGCTTAAATCTCAGCCTTGTGGCGTTCAAATCATATTGGAAAAAAATGTCGAAACTTGCCCGTTCAAATCTTGCTTCAATTTTCAGCATTCGCGAACAAGTTTCGAGGGGGCATTTGTAGACAATGGAATTTTAATTAAATTCTAAAAATTACCATTGGTCTATAAATCATTTTTATGGTTTATTTTCATCCAATCGAAAATTGCCACATGTCATGTACACCTGGAAAGGTTGGTTATTAACTGGCCAGTTATATTTGGCCACGTGTCAAGTTGAGGTGTTCCAAAATAATTCAAATTGCAGGGATATCTCCACCAACCAAATCATATCATATCACATACCTATTGGATAAATATCTAAGTATTTATTTCTTATTAAAGGAATAATATTTAGAGTTATTTAATCCAAGTATATCTCTTATATACTGCAATAGCTTGGCCAGTCAAACGGCGCCATGTCACGTGTCCCCACGAGTTTGGCCAATCGATAAATTTCTTATCTCTTTATTAATAAATATAAAATGAAGAGATAATATTTGACTGGTGCAGTCCTAATATGACTGCACGTCTTGCAAGACAAGTGGAGTGGTACACAGGTTCTCAATATCTACCTCTTGCTACAACTATAAATAGAGGTCTCTTAACCAAATCAAGGACACACACAGATACACAGAGGGACTTCAAGAGGCACCTCATACACTCAAGTATTGAAGTTTCAAGCTACGAAGGGTTGGATTTTCAAGCTCTCCAAGTCTTTCGCATATCAAGGTTTGAGCCTCCAAATATTCTCAAATTCTTCAAATCTTCCATATCAGGATTTGAAAGAGTCAGTGGTGGATCCAAGAACAAGCTGCGAAGCCCTGGGATTGGTGTTCGAGGAGAAGAATCGAAGGAAACTCTCCATAAGCTCGAGAAACCCCCAGAGATTGTACCTATATATTTTTCTAAGTTTATATATTACATATTTGTCGTGTATTTCCTTTTTCTTGTCATTTTGCAGACTTGAAAAATTTTATCGCGTACACTTTTAACGCATTTAAAAATAGATTTTTTTTCTCTTTTTATTACAACTTATCAATTGTAGGGACCTTGCACTTTGGCCCGTACAAGGTAGGATGAAGCAGATTTCTAAACGCAAGGTGTTGTGACACAAGTTCAATGTTTTTTGACAAGAAATGTTGATGGAGGTTTTCAATGCAATGCAAATTTACAGGAACTAACGCTTAATTTCCATTCCATATTCGAAGCAGAAATTCTATTAAATCATTTTTGCAGAAAAAAAACCATTAAGACGGACATCCAAAGGGAAGCATGCCTCCTTCTCTTCTTGCCGATCAGATAAGAAGGCTTTATATTATCTCAAGGTTTTCGTAGTATGTTATACTGGTACTTCTGGTCATTTGAGTTGTGCAGAGAATCGAATAAACCAGCAGAGGTCATTAGCACAAACAATATAAGCAGCCATCAAGGTAGACGGTGTAGTAAACCATATTTTTATACATCATTCACAGAAATTTACAGTAAATGCTTTACAGTCGACTGGTCAAGCAAAAAGAAAAGAAATGTTACTACTATAGACTGCTATTGAGACTAAGAAACTTTTGGCTACAATAGTTGATGATACACCTTTAAATAATTACACAACAAAATTGATTTCTGCACCACATATCAGGTTAGACAGTGTAACTTGGGATTCTTGGCATCCGCCGTTCTGTTGCAGCCGCAGGTGCTTTCTATGAGTAATTAATGTTCCACCATCGTAACTGCAAAATACCTCCCTTAAAAGTAAGGGTTAAAAAAGATTGTGCTCTCGACAAAGAGGATTGATTGGCTTGGAATTGGTTCCATGCGAACCCAAAAACTAGCAGCAGCAGGAGCAGCATGCAATGATGTTTGATTCTGCTCACCAGAAGAAATATACAACCCTTTAGGAGACACCCTTTTAACCAATTCAAAATTAAGTATGTCAGCAAGAATCCAAGCAAATATACCCTGTAGGCTATAAGTTGAAGAGAACATATTCTAGGCTATTTGTCTATTTCTTTCATCCAATTAACTGTTTTACAATCTATTTCTGGAAATGCCCTTTTCATTTCTTCCCCCCCCCCCCCCGGGGGGAGGATATAGCGGTATAGTGGTTGGCTTTGGTGCCAGCCTCTAAGACTTACTGCCAAAAATAGCACATAAACAGGAAGTAAAAAGTAAATCAGATGAAGAAAACGGTTCTAAGTTATTCTTTCATCTTACAGCTTTAAATTTACTTTTTAGGTTCCTTTTTTGTTTCTATAGGGGCGGGTTAAGTAATCGGTTTTTGTGCCTGCCTTTAAGGCTTCTACAATAAAAGAACCTACCTTAGCATGGGGAAAATTGTCGTTGCTTCATCGATTCTCCAGTTAATTCTCGTCTAATGAGTTTAAGGGTCTCCATAACCTGCAACATGATAAAAGAAATTCTGGTAAAACAAACTGATATCAGATATATAACTAGATGATAGAAGCATTATCATGTGGCAAACAGATTCCCTAGTCTGTTAACAGAAGACCAGGAGGCAACGGGCTAGGTTGTTGCATGAGGGGAAGACGTTATATAAGTTGAGTATGCAAGAAAGAGCTTGCGGGTGGGGGGTGGCGGAAGGTTTTCACTGGGCTGTTCTTCATATTGTCTACTCACAATTTAAGGTCCTTCAGCGGGAAAATTTAATAATTTTGCATGCACAGAAAAGCACGAATGTCTATGCTCCTCAAGTTGAGGTTAAGAAGGTCTTGACAAAGGTTGGACCACAAATAACAATATATAGGTCAAGTTTCCACCCTGTGGGAAATGATCCATCCTCAGTGAAAAAGAAGTATCAACTCTGACCAATATGGAGTACTCCTTTAAGACATGTTTTGAAAGCAGCCTTTTTCACACTGTCCTAATATTGAATCAGAAGAATCAAGCTGTATCGCAATACTAGAAGTATGGGGCATTTTCCAAAAGGCAGAAAATGTAGAAAGCATTACAGAAGTCACAATCCGAACAAGCATGGCAAAGCCCATGAGCTTGAGGGCAAATAGCATTCTTATACATTTTTGAGTCCCAACCCCCTCAATATTGCAGGTCTGACCCATAAATAGCCTGTAGATCAAGTTACTCACAATAGGTGGAGCATGTGTACTCACAGAAAAGTAAGTAAGAATGCTTATAATGATGAGAAAATTTGTGAAAAGCCACAGTTTGGGGAGAAATTATGTCAGGAGAGATACAAGCCATCAATCAAATAACAAAATACTTCAGTTAATTTTTGACATGCAAATTAAAATGTGCAAAACCCAGCAAGAAGGATCTCACTTGTCAAATGGAGGAGACCTATGATTTATTAGAAAAATGCAATTTAGACATATGCTACCACAGTTCATGGATACGCTGCACAGCCTGCACAGCCAGACATATGACATTAAGTTTTAGCCCCAGAGTAGCACGTCATGGTCCCCACTAGGCAGTGCTAGTTTAAGTATTAAAGACTTTCAGAAGATTATTTGACATCTTTTCAACCCAGCAATAACAAAGCAAAGAATATACAAAAAGATTGTTAATGATAATCTCCTGGTTACATGTAAAGTCAATTATCTGTGTCACCATTTTCTCCATTTCAATCCGAAAGAGCCTCCCAGTTCTTCAATAATTCTCTCCCCTACCACGTTGAGTTCTAATACCACATAATAGATGACAATTACTCCCAATTTCCCTTACTTCTTTTGGAGTGTACTCAGTACGTGATTACCTCCCAGTTCTCCAGTTATTTCTCTTGTCCACCTGTTTGCTCACGTGGTTAGTATTATGTGACAACCGAAACCATTGAGCTTTTTCTTCTCTGCCATCTTGGCATATTTGGCTTCAGTTTATATACAGTTTACTACATATCCTTCATACAATTTGGTTTAGAAGACAACAGTTCTTAAATCCCAGAATTACACATCATATTCCAAAATCTTCATCCTCTTTTATGGAGTAATTTTTATATGTTTACCGCATGATATTATTTTGGACACCTATTATATGAAAAATTCCAGCACAGATCACTTGGGATGTAATTTTGGTCCAAATAAAAGAGTCTATAAGAGTATATTATCTTCCCACAGACAAATTAATTTAGCTGCAGGCTGCAAATCATCTTCTACTTGAAAAAGTCTTTGGCAAAATGAGGTTGAAGAAGTATTGACTCTAGACAATTTTGCAGGAAAAAAGAATGAGAGTCATGCTTGTTTGGCCACAACTCTAGCAATGGCAGTACATCATATGATGCCACTTAGTAGTTATTCTAGAGGGCTAACTTTGTTACGCTTTTGGGCATTGAAAAAAAAAAACCATCACTGCCTGAATTCCAATATAAGTAAATTTTTTAATCTATTACAAACTTGGATTGGATATAATGGATAAGTACTAACTAGGTCTACTCAAATTTCCAACCCAGGCCTAAGGCCATTATCCTATCTTTACTGTAATCTGATTTTTGACAAAAGAAAAACTATTACAACTATTCCCTAGTAAAATGTTGGGTTTATCTTTAACAAAATTTTCATGTACTTTGAACAACAAGCCACAGTATATATGAAGAATATAAGGCCTTGTATGGTTGCCTTGGGCTTTTTCTACTTCAAAATTTTTGTATATTATATTTTCATTTTCTGTTTAATCTGGATAAACATGTACTCAAGTTCTTAGTGCGATATATTTTGTGGAACACACTACATTATCCATATGCTATTTGTTCTGTCTAAAGGAAAAAATTTTGAAATTTTTTCCACTTTTATTAGAAAAGTCCAAAAGAAGTAATCACAATTAGCTCATGACAGAACACAAATTCAAAAGTGATTGTATGTTATCCTTCGGTAATAAATAATGGTTCAAGGGGGAAAACAAATCCAACAAGTAAAAGAGACAGGTTTGATGGTAAATTAAGTGGGTTTTGCCCAGCATCATATCCACGAAGGGGTTCAAGCTCAGTGAGATTGAAAGGAATGGATCATTTCATGGGGTTTGGCTTAGCTGCAGGTTCATAAGGAAACTCCCCCCCCCCTCTTCAATCGCATTCCAAGCAAACGGAGAGAGCACAAACCATTCAATTGATGCAAAAGTTAAAACTAGACATGTCTAAGGATACAAAACTTTACTGCTTGCTCTATAAGGTGAAAAAGGATCACAAACAACAAAGCGAAAGATGTTAGCTAATACAGCATGGGAACCTTCATGGCCATAGCATCTCAAAACTGTGGTTAATTCCAATAGATAAGCTTTTAGATGGTATATATGAACAACTAGCAACACTTTCTGTTATGTAGACCATAGGCAAAAGCTAACTCTATATTCAATCTTAAGACTCAAACCATCAACATCTAAGGTAGTAAACAATTGATGTGTTGCATGATTTCATTTCAAAATGCCATAACTGGAGATGAAGTAAATGTTAACATGGAGAACATGGAGAGTTTAAACTCAAACAGATTGGCATATAAACACGGGAAGAAATTTTAAAACTGGTGTGATTAAACTCAAAAAAATGCCTCACAAAGACCAAAACGTTTTTTCAGAAATTTATGAGATTGGGCTCGTGAGAAGGTTAAAATTGCAAGGTTTAACTCAACAAGTTGGGAATGAACTAAAAAGGAATTCTTTCGGAAAGGAGAAGAAAGCGGTTGAATAATTGCAGTATCCAACTTTTGCGTTAAGTTCATTTGATTAACCAGACAGATGCAAATATCTAGATAGCTGAAGGTTGTCTAGGAAACTGCATATGCTTGTATTAGTCTAGTAGATCTAGTAGATAGATGAACGGTTAGACAACCATACAAAATGGTCACGGTGTTTGAAGTGCATACATCTATATAAAAACCAACAAGGTCATGTGACATGATGTAACAGAGAGTAGTGAACTTACCCCGGGATAATGTCGTAAAACTGGAGAGTAGTGATCTAGGGCAATGTATATCTTCTCAAGCAAGTTGAGAAGCTTATCCACCTTATCACCCAAAAGATCAACCTGAATTGAAGCAGAGTACTAAGTTAAGAAGCGCAAATGGAGGACCACAATATACATCTAGATTAGGGTCTAAAAGTTCCTAACAACCAAACATTGTGTTTCCTTACTGTAGGATCTAATATCTTCTTACTCACTGCTCCCATAATCTAAACCAATGCCATAAATATGGCTTATTCCCAATGCTGAACATTATACTAAGATCCTCCTCAGTCTTGCTCTCAACTTTATTTTCAAGACACCACATCTTTGATGCTTGTCAATTATCAGAAGAACCAAGGACAAATTACTGCACTAATATTCTGGATGTAGCATGAAAGGAGTAACTATATTATGTACATAAACACTTTGCTGTTTGTTTCTTGATAATAAACGCACCATTTCAATTAGCACTATCAACCAAGTCATAGGGCAAAAGATGGAGAAATATCAACTAAGAACAATATCCTTCTCAAATTCCAAAAAAAATGCCCTATCTCTACTTAGGTACTTCTGGTCCATTCTACAAGTTATTGTATCTTTCTAATGTGGACACACACATCAATCAACCATTAACTAGCATCTTATGCATGATTCAATAATCAAGTTCCTCTGTTATCAAAAAATACAATATCAGAATTTACTCATAATTGATTGCTTTACCAAATTTTCTCAGTTCACCATCCATATGAAAATGCACCAACTAGTACTCATTTGACATGATGAGCAGACAAAACCTTGTATACAGGGCAACAAAAGAGCATAATTAATAACCTCAGCCTCAGCCTTTTGAAGATGTGCACATTTCCTCTCAAGCCTCTGCTGATACACGCGCCCTGTCCTTTTAAGCAAGTTAGCTTTCTTGACCAGAGAATTCAATTGAGAAGACGAATCTTCGACCCTGAGAGGATAAAGGAAGATTTCAATTGTACATGAACTCGATTGCTCATTAAGACTATTCTGCATCAGAGGAATACTTTTGTTGCAAGTAGTTGTAAGCAGGGGCCAATAAGGATTAAAAGCTCCATTTTAAGTCAAAGCACTTGACTAATGTTTGACCATATCCAACAAAGATCACATAACAGCACCCATGCCAAGTCCTGTGGACACCTGTTCTTTGGGGTTCCCTTACTCTTATTACCAACGACTGATCTGTTCAACTCATAATTACTTTAATAGAAAAGCAATTCCGGTTGGGGTCAGGTGAACCTTGTTGTTTATGATGTCAAGAATGCAATTGATGCTAGTTAATGGAACTTATTCCTAAGAGACAAGGATATTAGAGATGCACATCCATCCTCAAGCAGGGACAAACACACATAACACACAAGCGTGAATGCATAAAGCCTTAGAGTTTCAAAATGAACTCACTACAACTTCAAACAGTGCAAAATAAGCACTAGATAATAGCAAACTAGTTTTTTAAACAAACTCCAACCGATTACTGTGCTCATGAAATAAAAAAAATGAAAAAACCTAGCAGAATATATGTACCTCAGGCTATTTGCTTTCATTTTCCCTGTTACTTTGCATTCAAAATCTGCAAGCATCTTCAACAGCCCTTGGACATCAACAATTACCGCTTCCATCTGTTCCCTTTCTTTAGATTTCATCTGTAAGAAACTTGCATGCTTTTCTTGGTTTAGAGCAAGTTCCATCTTTCTTTGCTTGTCAGCCTCCTCTAAATCCTGATACGCTTCTTTGAGTTTTTCATTCAATATCTGGATTTTCACTTTATCTGCTTCAATTTGTGATGATGCTTCTGCCAATTGGTCCCCTACCAATTCCAATTCATTAGTTCTCTGAGAAACTAGTAGTTTCTGCTGACTTGCATCTCTTCTAAGCTCTTGAGTAGCTAACTCAAACCACTCTCTCTCTTTTGAAATGTCCATTGCAAACTTCTCTTTCTCTTGCACTGACACTGCTAATTCTTGCTTCAGTCTTTTGTGATGTTCAGCCTCTGATTTCAATTGATTATCTTTTTCCACAGCCTTCACCTCAAGAGATCTTCGACTTTGACTTTCTGTCAAATATTTCCCATACCATGTATCGAGTTCTTCAACAGCATTCTTAAGAGATTCTCTAAGTAATACATCAAAGATTCCTTCGTGCAATTAATGACTCTAATTCAGAATCTTCAAATTCAAATGTTGGTGCAACTTCAGCTTTGGCAACAACTCCCTTCAAAACAATATCATAAACCTCCTGCGTTATTAAATACTTCAGGTCTGATTCTTCAGTTGCACATTTCATGCATCTTGCTATCTCACTTACAACACATTTATATATATCTTCAATAACTGCAGCTTCTATATGTGCATCTTCCAAAGCAGAGTTGGCCTCAACTATTGAATGCTCCAACTTTTTTTCAGCAGCATCAGCAACTTGGGATGACAGAAGCTTCACCTCATTTTTCCTGTCTCTAAGTGAGTCTTTTAGTTGATGATTTCCAGAGAGCAGGCCAAGAGGTCTGTCTTTTAAATCATGGAAACTTCCAGTATTACTATTAGATGCAGGTGGTTTTTCATTTTCCGCAAGGATGTCATCCAATTTCAGAATAACTGCTGGGATCCTTTTCCTTAATAGATCAAATTCCTTATCCTTCTTGTGTGGCAAACAGGAACCCCTTTCTTTAAGGTATTCCCTTTTTAGACTAAAATAATCCTCAGTCAGCTCAGCCACAGTTGATTCATGGTCTCTCCTCAACTTTGTTATGATATTATTGAAATGAGCCACCAGTTCTTCCTTGTTCAGGTGTTTCAGTTGAACTGCTTCATGGTTCTCGGGCACATCTGTTGAAGAACCCTCTAACTTTCCATTTCCGTCCCCAAGAGATGATGAGGAATTAATGTGGTTGCTCAAGGCCCTGCGGTGGAAATGATCTGCATCATGAGATCCATGGGATGATAGTTGCTCTGTTTCTGAATGGGACAATGACTTTAACATGGCAGCTAGTTCCTTGCGTACATCAGAAATTTGACTGAACTTTTCGATCCAATCAACACTTTGACTGCCACTTAACAGAGCACTTTCACTCCAGAGTTTTTGCTCAAACTCTTCCTGAATAGTATGAATTGAACTGTGCATGACCATATTCTCAAGTTCTTCTTGCAAGTCTCTCTCCCAATGCCACTGACTAAGGGTTGACTTGGACAACCTTAACATGTCATATGCCTGATAACAGATGTTTTCTAGTGTCATATTCAAACTGTCTAACATCCTATCTACATCAACCCAGCTTTCAGATTCCTTCTCCCACAGAACACCACCTAGTCCTACCAACTCTGAACCAGAATTAATGCTCTTAATTGAACTACAGCCTCTAGCACCATCAATTCCCTTCTCAAGGTTCTTAAATTGCTCTCTTACTATACTACTTAGGCCTTTCAAGGACTCCCCCATCTTATCATGCACTGAGCAAGCCTCCTCAAAAGTCACACCCCTCCCACTACGAATACTTTCCAGCTCATCCTCTATCATGGATGGCCCAAAAGACTCAATAGCGTCAAAATCCACGTTATGAAATTTCAAAATCTCCTTTATGTTGGCCACCTTGAGTTCTTTTGCAGCAATTTTCTCAGCTGCCTCTTGCTCCACCGCATTCACCATTCCCTTAATAACAGAGTCACTAACCATCCGTGAAATCATCAGTCGGTCATCGATATCATCCAAATAAGTATCCAAATCCACCAACAGCTCATCCTCCAAATTCTCCCCTACATTTTCACCAAGCCCCGCTTGCTCCCCCTCATCCCCATCCAATCCACTCACATTCCCTTCATCCACTCTCTCACCCTCCATCAACTCTTGACTCTCCATTCCTTATCCAACCTAAAATAAATTTAGAAAAGGAAAAATAAAAAAAAAATTAAGCACTAATAAGCTTCAATATGCTTTATCAAAAATCTGAAGATTAAGCTAAAAATATAATAAGGCAAAAGTGAAAAAATTAGAAAAGAAATTTAAATAAATTTAACTCTTGACTCTCCACTCCTTATCCAACCTAAAACAAGTTTAGAAAAGGAAAAAGAAGAAATTTAAGCACTTACAAGCTTCAACATGCTTGATCAAAAATCTTAAGATTAAGCAAAAAATACAATAAGGCAAAAGTGAAAAAGAAAAAAGAGTTTTTCCCTCTTAGCTCAAGTTCTAATGCCTAATTTAGCTCAACTTTGTACCGGATGTACCAAATTTAAATGACTAAACACAAAATTACAGTTAAAAGAAACCAAATAAGAAGTTCAAATGTAACAAAACTTATGCAACAAATGCAAAACAAAAAAAGAAAAACTTAAAAGAAATGAAGAGGGCTGTTCCTTCTTAAACCTTATTCAAATAAAAATCAGAACTTTATCCAAAATTAACGGTCAAGAAAGCATTTGAACCCAACCTTACCGTTAAAAAAAATGTGGGTTTTGCTCTCTGGCAACAGCTTTCAAGTGGGTTTCTTTTACTTGTGCTAGTTGTTAGGGTTTTTGAGGGATTTACTGCGTGTTTGTGAGTGTGTTTGCGGGAAGCTGTTCGAGGCTAGACTGAGCGGGAGTGAGAGAGAGAGAGGGCTGTGAAAGAACCTTTAATAGCTAGTTTGGGAGTTTAGAATAGGAAGGAAAAGAAGAGAAAAGAAAGGAAGGGAAAAAAAGGAAAACATATTTCAATGTTATTTGAAAATTTAGATAAAGAAATGAGATGATTTGGAATATATATATGTCAATAAAAATTTATCCAACATATGTTTGAAGATAAAATAGACATTTTAAAATATTTTGTTAGGCTTTCTCAACATTCCTTTGCTTTTCGGCCACATTTGGACGGGAAAATATATCAACAACAGCAGCAACATACTCTCCATCCAAATTCTTTGATTTCTTTTCTTTTCTATCTCTCCACAATTCCCAAATGACAGAAAGAAAGCCTTTTGTTCTTCTTTTCTTATCAAATCCAATCTTCCAAGGCCACATTAAAAAGAGGGGTACTAAGTTACTAGCCCCCTCCACAGGATGACCATCATAATTCATAAGAATATTTATGATATGATTTTTATTTATTAAATTATATGATAAAATAAATAATAGGAGTGTTATCGACAAAAAAAAAAAGTGAAATTTTACTAAGATTTTCCATGATTAAGGTTGTTGTTTGTTTAAAAATTTTGTCAAGCAATCATGGAAGCTCATAATTGTATTGATGGACCCGCTCAAAAGAAATGCTCGAAAGCTTCCAAAACCATAAAGTGAAAATTTCCCTACGAGTTAAGTAATAAGCATTTACTATAAGCAGACGCGTTTTGCTTTCCAATTGATTGTGACCACTGATTGATTAATTGTTGGTGCTTGCTTCTTTTCTTCTCCTTTCTTTTTCCAAAAGATCCTTAGGATGGTTGAGAAAGTATTTTAGAATCTTAACATTGGTAACTTTCATTTTGGTCGGAGGATTTTTTTTTTCTTTTTTTTTTAATAAAAAAGATCAACAGTGATTCTTCACTTATTCGCTGCTGAATGAGTAACTTGAACACTGTTGCATAATAAAATAATCTTAAGTATGTTAAAAGCTGACTAACCTCACCTTTCATTGAAGTTCATCTTAATTATCAAGTTTGGTTAAAGGTTATTATTTCAAAGCTAGAATGTAATTTTAGGTAGGTTGTTTGCCAAACTAATATAATTGCATCATATGAATTGTTAATCCTTCTTTTTCCAAAAAAAAAAAAAGAAAGAAAAAAATCTGCATTATGAATGCCAAGTATTTGGGATTAATATTAAAGGCTCCACTTTGCACCTTCAATTTTTTATTCAATAGTTACTTGGCAAAGACTTGTATAGATTTGGTCCATCATTTAAAAATAGACCCTGCAAAAACAAATAGGGCATGATGACCCTTTTACTTTTTTACAATCTTCAGGCTTTTCAACAAAAAGAAAAGGACGTGGCGAGTTTTCGGCTACATGGTCCACAGCCCAGTCCGTAGACTGGGTCTACCCAAAGTATTTGCCTACTTGGTAACTTTACACCTTATTCTCTTGATTTTGGAAAGTTTGTCCACTAGCCACCTTGTCTACTTGGTAAGTTGGTGCCAAAGTATTTGCCTACTTGTCTATATGGAAACTTTACACCTCATTCTTTTGATTTTGGAAAGTTTGTCCACTGGCCACCTTAAGTTTTTCCCTATGATTTATATGTTATGTTGATAAACATGTAATATTCTCAATTTTATTGGTTAAATTTGCAATGCATATACTAAATTTAAGGGCTTAAAATCAATACAATTTCTACAACAATGTGCATAGTATTTTAGATTTGGAGCTGATTTCTAGCCTAATGAACTTAATTGTTCACACTTTTGTTCCATGCAAACTCTTGACCAGTGTTTCTTCAACTCGGAACACATATTTCTTCTTCCTCCAAACCCTACAAACTTTTGGATGGTAAGTTATTTGGAATATTTTTACTGTAACACTTTTTGTGACGTGATGTATGTGAGATAAAAATGTAATTGGGAAGATAAAAAAGTGTATTGGAAATTGTAATGATGATGTAAGCAAATAAAATTGAGAAAAATAATACTCAATCCAAACAAACCCAAGCATTTAACACAAACTCAATCAATATTCAAAAAGTAAAAAGGATTTTTTTCTAATAGACGTACAATGGGTACTCGTTAATACATTTATATTACACCTAACTCATTATATGAATTCACATTCAAATAATTATTATACTGTCTTACATTTATATGTTTTCCCTAATTAATGTTATTTTTTCAAAATATGAACACCTAAAATCCATCTTAACAATGTCCGACACCCGTTAGATAGATCTAATAAAAAAAAATTGAACTTTTGTATTTGGGAGTAAAAAATAAATATTCAAAAAAAAAGTGCTAATGGGTCCCGCAAATTATTGCTTGGAACCCAACCCAGATCGTTAAAAAGTTTTAAAAGCTAAGCTCTACTTGGTTAGCGGGGGCCCAGTGGACTTTCAATTGGATCTGTAGGCTGAACTTGTCCGTATTCACGGGTAGAACAAGTGAATTGGTTTGGAGCAATTGGTCCACCAAAAAACTATTCAACACTGACTCGACTGATGAAATATTGCACATTTTGGTCATACATGAAATTTGCTAAATCAAGCAAGCAAATACTACTTGGATAGCTCCAAGAGTTAGCTCGAGCGGTCTGCTCCCCCTCATTAGGGTATGATAGATTTACTTGGGCAACCAGGGTTCGAGCCCCCTTGCTACCGTGCTCAGAGTGGAGTGGGGCCTTCTCTCTTGGGTCGGAGTGGGATTAGTCGGGTCAAAAGCCCGAATACCCATGCCATCAGAAAAAAAAAAATACTACTTGGATAAGTTTGGTTTTATTGACCAATATACACTGAATAAGGCACAAATGCTAATGCTAGTTTAAAGCACCTAATCTATAAGATTAGGTTTACCCAAATATTTTCCTATCAACTATACATGGTATTCCATTGTGTTAAGATTAGTTATAGAATTGGTGCTCAAGCTTTGAGCAGCTTTCAAGATATGGAACGGGTCTATCCTATTCCATTGTGCTAAGATGCACAAATTGTAGAGTGATTATTGAGTCTTTGCTCAAATTGTACGTACTTTTGACATAATCAATACAATTTATCGTTTCGAAAAAAAATTATAAGTGGTATTCCACCATTTGAGTAGTCTTTCTATCCTTACGTAATCTTGAAGCAAGCACATTGATGATTTAGTATTCATCTCTTGTTGAATGTCAGAGGATTAGTAGTAAATCATCAGTGCATGTTTCATTCTAGATTGAAATCAAGTTGGTTTATTATGTGACACTTAACAAATCTGTCTAATCTCTTGGCTTGCACTACATTGATAAGAGTGCATTACCAATTTTACATTTTTTGGGGCAAGAAAAAGGTTGTGGCATTGATCTTGGTGTTTGCCAATTTTAAGGGGGTATTTTGCAAATATATTGCTAGAAGACTTCAAACTTACGTGGAATTGATAAACATGTAGACGCATTTTATTCGTGGAATACTTTCATCATAGCTAATTGAATAAATTCTAACCAGTGTTTTTTTTTTTTTTTGGGTCTAAGAGTGGACACTTTTTTTTTTTTTTTTTCGACATAGGGGTGTCCGGATCAATTCTTACGGGGCCCGACTAATCCCCTGCGGCCCGGGAGAGGAGGCTCCACTCCACTCCGGACACGGTAACTCCAGGTAGACTCGAACCTTGGTTGCCTAAGGCCGGACAACGCCCCTAAAGAGGAAAGCATGACCGACTGAGCTGCCTGGAGGGCCTAAGAGTGGACACTCGTTAACATGAGATTCAGGTGTTAATTTTTCAAAAAAAAAAAAAACAGAATTAAGTTAAATAAGCCAAGTATTTAAATGTAAGGGAAAAAGGGTAATAACTATAAATTTTTGAATGCATATCATAAATTCGGTGTAGACCGTGTGTATTAATAAATGGTCACTTGGTATACCTTAAAACATTATGGTTTTTTTTCCTATTAAAATTGGAATCATGATGGAAGGATATTTATTTTCGTGACTTTATATACCACCTTGGTTGGTTAAAATTGGAAACATAAAGTTTCAGATCGAATTGTTTTGTAGAAACATTAAAACCTACTTTAGAGCAGCATCTAAACTTTGAGAACACCAATCACAATTCTCTCTTAATTATTACCTCAAAACTTACGCTACTTCAATTGCTATCTAATTTCCACCCCTGCATTTCACTTCCCAAAATTTTATACACTTTTTTAACCAAATATTGAGATCACGAATTAAAGTTCATCCTTCGCAACAAAATACTTAAATCCTCCAGAAACATCGGGCCAGAAAATGTCTGAAATATTCATTTGGAGGGTTCTTTTCTCATACTGGCTTCCCATTAGATCCTTGCTTGTATACTTAAATGGAAACAGTAAATCTACTTTAATTTGTCTCTCATTTCCCTGTGTCTACTACCTATGAACATGTATCACACTCTTCTTTATGACATTTTATCATCTCTTTTCTTTTCCTCTTCTCTAATCGCACATATAAATTAATTCATTAATTTTGAGAAGTTTGAATTTGTTTAATTATTTTCCCCTCTCTATTAGACAAAAGAAGCTGGTAATTAATGATCCTGCGCTGGAATACAGCACTTGAAATTCTCGGTGACATGTTTTTCTATGCTAATTCAATGCCATCTATAGTATTGCAGCAAGTGTCATGTTATTATTTACACTTTAATTTTCTAATAATTCAATTTGGTTTGGTTTAACATAAGTGTAAATAATAACAAGACACTTGGCACAATATTATAGGTGACATTGAATTGGCATAGAAAACATGTCACCGAGAATCTCAAGTGAGAATACAGTATACAAATATACTATACTGACTTCACCTTTGACTTAGGCTGTTAGATGATTCATGCCATGACAAAAGTACATAATTGCAAGACAGCCATCTAATGATGCCATCCTTTGCCATAATGTTGAGGATACAAGTAAATTTGATCTTTTCCTTGACCATCAAAACATGTACCAAATTTATCCATGCCATGCAAAAAAGTGCTACTTATTGCTAAACAGCCATCTAATG